GCCCCCGCCGATGCCAAAGGCCGCCAAGCAAGCTTCAGAGCAGGGCCGGCCGAGAGCCCCGGGGAGGGGGCGGGTGGGTCTGTCTCCGCTGGATGGGCAGACGCAAGAGGCGCCGCGGGGGCGGTGGAGACAACGCGGGAGGAATGCTGATGAGCCCGCGTGGGTCAGATCTGACGCTCAGGCGGGAGGGAATTCGGGTCCAGGCGCCTAGTGCCAAAGAAGAAGGAGGGTTGTGTGTGTGTGTGGGGGGGAAAATCCCTCGGTCGCCATGGCAACGCGGAGCAGGCTCGGGCTTGACCCTCCCAGAGCAGGACCTGAGGCCAGAGTGACAAGAATCAGTTTTCTGTGCAGTCGTCCACTAGTAGACAAGCAGGAGCATCTCCCAGGGAAACCGCAAACTTTGGGACACCTGTTCTTAGATTATCTTCCCGGTCTCTTTTGATGGTTCCTCCACCGTAGCTAGTCAAGTAGCGTGCCTTTAACCAGCGAGGCCGGTCCACTTCTCTACCCAAAATTCCCGGTGGCTCGTGTCTCTGAGATCGGCCTCTCGGAACTTACATGACCCATTCCTTCGGTCTCCTGGACCTCACAGCTTCCACACAGTCCCTCTGCTCCCCCCGTGCGGTGTGTGTTGCTGTTGTTCAGTCAACACCAGGCATCCTCCCACCCTAGGTACTTTGCCTTTTGGATTCCCTCAGCCTGAAATTCTTTCCCAGTTCAAGATCCCAAAGGTTCACTCACTGGCCTTCCAATTTCTGCTCTGAAGACATGTTTAGCATGAGACTGTCCTAATCATAATGGTTGCCACTCTCCTCAGACAACCCCAGTTCCCTCCAGTTCGTGTGTGTGTGTGTGTGTGTGTGTGTGTGTGTTTTGTTTTGTTTTCTTCTAGTAGCACTTATCACTCCTTGGCATGCTTCCATGCCGTATGTTATGTGTTAATTGTATTATTTCTGTATTTATCCATTACCCTTCTCCTCCATACACATAGGAAAATAAGCTGCAGGCAGAAAGAGGTTGTTAGGATATTATGCTCACGTTGCTCAGAAAGAAGGGAACCACTTTGCAAAGATATGCTTAAATTTGACTTTTGCTTTTTAACTAATCCACCTAGGTGGAGGTGCCTGGGGCACGAGCTCAGGATTCCTGGAGGGAATTTTTCTTTCCATACATGGGTTGCATCCAAGGATGAGGCAGGGCAAGAAAGATGGTTCAAGGCCCCAGCAGGGCCCCATCCTCAATTTCCCAGCACTCCTTGAAGCCTGGAAAGGCTGGCCTTTGAGAAATGCCAACTCTGCGTTTAGGCTAGAACAGTGATGATTTATTCACAGCAATTAAAGAGCAAATGTCACCATTTTCAACGATCACTGGGGGTATTCTTAACTCTGTTCCAACCGAATGTGATCCATGTTTACAGTGTTTTGTATTCTCACATACAACCTGTTAAAACCACGTGAGCCCTGATCAAGATTTAATTTGGCACAAATCTGAACACCACTGGGCACACACTTCTGTTTTTAAAACATTTCAGTTTATATTTTCTAAGATGACATTTAATTTTGAAACTTCAGTCCACAGCCATGTTTTTCTTCATACTGTGTTTTACTCTAGAACTAAGTACAGTCCATGCTGAATTGCCCTACAATATATCTGAGAAATCAAGCACCCTGTCTAGCCAAACAACTTACAGGTACAGGCTAATAAAGATGGTCAAACCTCAGCATGACTTTTCTGAGAAGAGCCTATACTTTATCCCTTAATAGCAAAAGGAATCTTTAAATCTCTGTCAAACCCAGTGCACAGTTTAAATGTGAAATCATTTGCTTTAATTGATAATGGAAGTTGTGAGTAGACACTCTGGTGCCGACTCGCTGGAGTGTTGGATATAAGCAATGAATAATGTTAAAATTTGAGACATGGGTTAAGATGACTAGAAGACCATTTGTTCTCTGATCTTCTGCAGTTTTTCCAAAACAGTAATTAGGTATCATTTTTGTCCAGTTAATGTCAAGATAATTAAACTGCCTAGAATAACTAAAAGTGGCAACAGATTTTTAATGTTCAGATGTTATCTGTTAGATGAAAAACAAATGTTACTCCCCAACGTTATTTCCCTAGTGAGATAGTTAATGTATTAACACATAATGTCTCCGGATAGCCTGTGATTTAGTTAATTATACCTCTATCTCTACAATAGCTCATGAGCCAGGATTTCTAAGCCTTTCAAAACATAAGAGAGCAAAGAATTAGGCTTAGTTCTCCCAAAGTTGAGCAGTTAGTTATCAACATAGGTTATTTTGAGACCTAAAAGTTTTCATTGATAGTCTACCCTCCCAGCCACTTCTCCTGATAAAGAAAATGCTATGAATAAAGTATTTCCCTCAAGCATAAGTGTCTTATCCATTTGAAACAAAATGGCTGAAGTTTATTTTTAAGTAACTTTTAAAAGAAGTGGTTAAAATGTATTAGTTGTCAGTTGAAAATTTTTCAGATGTTTATGACCTTCAGTATTCATGAAAAATAATAGTATATGAAGTAGCCTTTTAAGTCAAATATCTGGTAATAGGTTTTATTTATTATCAGCACTTTTTATATCCCTTTATCTAGCCGGACTGATATAAAAATGATAACATAAAACATTATTTTGTAGACATTTAAAAATAGGCAATTGGAACTGCTATTATTCCTTCATAATTTTAAGCAGTTCACATTTCCAAATCTTGACATGCTTGTGCTTGAATTCCTGGCATGTTTATCAATCACTGAATCAGTAAAGATTTATAATCATTCTTTTGTAGTTGAGAAAAGATTTTCTTTTCGATCCTAACATCTTACTATTCATTCTAAATTTATCTCAAATGTTTTTTTCTTTTACCTTCTTTTTAAAAAAGGTTTTAAATTGTTATGCTTCCATTCCCAAAGAATTCTGGAAAAACATATCCTAATTGTATAGCAACATCTTAAATATTTGTGTAGCAAAACATACAGTGTTCTGAGTTTGATCCCTGGTACCAAAACAAAAATTAAAGCATATAATGTCACCAAAATGATATTCAGTATACATATATATTTATATATATAATACATTATAATATATATGTTCCTATAGTTAATGAAATAAGTCCCTTATATTCATGGGTTTTTTTTTTCTTTTAGTTCTAGTGCAATCAGAACATTCTGTGTGCATTGGGAACATTTTTACAGGTCTTAAGGAGAATATGACAGAGAAGATAATTGTTTTCTTTTGTGCTAAAACACAACGAAAGGGCTGGATGGCAAGAGTCCCACTTTCCAGAACTGACACTGCTACTTATACCCTGAAGACTTTCAGTGAGTCCTGTACCTCCCTGTGTTCCTCACCCCCAAAGGATGTAAAGGAGTTAAAACTAAAAATATTTTGGAAAAAATAGTTTAAGTGTTTT